GCTTTGGATGAGGTAAAATTATAAAGCAATAGATTGAAATATAATTCTATTCGTTATTAAATTAGTTTTTTAATATTGAAGTTTTTAATTTTGGTGCAATTTTATAAAGATGAAAAAATTTTCTCTTTTCCAACCATATATGATATCCTTAGCTTAGCAATGGATATTAATTAAATATTATGAAACAGTTTTAAAAAGTGATAATGGAAGAATTGAAATCAACTCAATTGATATTTAGTAATTTAGAAAAGAAAACAATTAATTCCGAGCAAATTGAATTTATTTCGAAATTTAACTCAATGCAAATTTCATTCATCTCAAATTCGATCACATCATATATTAAATCATTGAAATTATTTTTATTCGATGGCAGTAATTTTGTAATGAAATGATAATAATGCGGATTTAATTTTTAGATTGAAAAAGTGAGATTTTTATCGAATTTACGAGCGGAACAACATAAGGAAATTCGATCAGCAATGATGACAGCTTTTATGAGAAATTTTAAAGATGCTGATTGTATGCTTGTACAAAATGGTCATATCTTCCGTGCTATAATGTTCAATATTTCATTATTTCGATGGCAACGGTTAACGCATTAAAATATCATTTAATTTAACTTGAGAAAAAATAAATTTTGAAAATTTTTAAAGCTTAACAAATGCTGAAAAAAAAAACTGTGCGACTGATTTAATTAATAGCAACTAATTAAATCTGTTAACAGTGTAAATTGATATAAGCAAAATTTATTTTACTCATGAAATTATATGTAAATTTTTTTATTAAAGAGCGCTGGAATTGGCAGTGAAACATAAAATGCATTTGGAAACTGTAATCGGTTATCGACAAAAATATTTGTATGAAACGGGACGGAAAGAAATTGATCAGAATTTTCTGAAGTATCAATCTGAGGTAAACTGTTATATGTTTACAATTAATTCCTAAGATTAAAAATTCAATATTGATGAAATAATTCATACAAATTTTTTTGCTTGATTGAAAAATTTCAAATCAATTTCGGATAATTCTAAATATTTCATAACTTTTTAAAATCATTCAACTAATTAGTACAAATATATAAATGTGATCTAACTGATAGCTGGTGGAGGATTAAATTTTTTTTAATTTACAGGTGGAAATTGATTGGGATCACATTCTACAAACTATACGTGAAGATGAAGCTAAAAATTTTTGAATTTTCTCGGAAAAATTGTTGAAATTTTGTGTATTGCATAGTACTCGGAAGGTCTTTGTAGTGTTAACAAAAAATAAATTAATTAATAAAATTCAATAATTTGTAAAATAGCTGACATTATCAATTCCAACTGGTTTGTATGAATTCTCTCAAATTTTCCTGCTTGCTATTCTTTTATTAGCCCTGATATGCTCTTGAAAGGAAGTAAAAAAAGCACTTATTCTGTGAATGAATAAATTAAAATAAAATATTAGTCTATTTGAAATTTTTCAGTAAAATATACTTTCAGATGTTGTACTCTTATTTTTGATGAAGTAAACATACTAAGTATACTTTACCACCAAAACGTACATCCTACATGAATCTATTGAATCTTTCAAAAATTTTAGAATACTTTATAGTTTTGAAAATTTTAGACTGTAAAAACTGTAATTACTATATCCTTTATCACTTTGACATATTTTATCAATCATAAAATTCACTTTTTTTTCCATTTCCAAATTAATAGACAATAAATGTTATTGATTAAAAATTACTTATTTAAAATTATTTATTAAAAATATTTGACATGCTAAATGTTTTGTTTCCTCATTGAAATGAAATTATAACAGAAAAAGTTAGAGATCATAGTTCATCACTGATATCACACTTCAAGAACTCGATCCTCTCGTGAATTATGTCCATTACACCTGGTGCCATAAAATGTGCAAAAGCATCTGTTCATCTATTTACAACTGTTTAATGGCACTTTTCAATCCCTAACATTTAATAATTAAACAAAGTTGAATGCGTTACATTACAATTTAAATCTCTCCATTTTATTTATTTTAATCGAAATTGTTAATTCGATTCGGTTACATTTGTTTACCGATAGGAATATGAAGGAGTTCTAACTAATGAAAACATCATTTTTGCTATTGCTTTTCTAATTTACTACAGCTATTTGACTTTCGTCCTCTAAAATTAGAACTGAATTTAAAAATTATGCACAACTTTGTGAAACAAGTGAAACCAGAATGGTTTCTCTTCTTTTTTTTTTCCTGTTTCAATTTTTTTTTACAGATAATTTTTATCATTTTATTATCCATCTCATTATCATATTCAATTTTGTTTAGTTTTAATAGCTTTATTAATTTGCAAAGTTTATTATAATATCCGGTGATGAATATTTTCAATTGAATTATTGAACAATAAATTATTTCAATATGTACTAATGAAACATTACAATGAATTCAGCCAACATAATCGATTTGCATATATAATTAATTATTTTCATCATTGTATTTATCATCGATTACGAGTTCTTTTTTCCAGTAATTGGCTATTTAACAAATAAAATATGTTCTTTAATTCTGAAATGAAATAATGAATGTGAGATAAATTCATCCTCAATCAGAGTTATCATCAGAAATTAACTTGGTGAATTAATTTGACTTGAATTTGAGTGAACTTTAAAAGTTAAGCCCAGTTTTACATTACCCCATATATATACTCATATTTATGCAGTTTCATTTTCTCACTCATATCAGTACAACACTAATGATACTAAAAAAAAAAGTACGCTTATGATACTAAATTAGAGATTTTTAATTTTACTATTATCCTTAACTAGCAGTTCAGAGTTATTATGTTGATATTTTATAGCTCATATTCATTTCTCCTTGCACTATTTTGTTTTTGTTTTTTTAAACTTTCAATTTAAATGAATAACATTAATAATACTACTTTGCCATTCTTAATTTATTTTTCTTTACTTTCTCATTAAAATCTATACCTATCTATTTTAAAATTCATAGTAAACAAAATATTATTATCCATTGTAAGCAAAATATTATTTTACCAATGTCAAAAAAAGAAGAGAAAAGCTGATTAGAAAAATTCATTAAGTTATAAAGAAAAAAAGAGATTTGAGAGAAGGGAAGATGAAAGATTAGGCCAATGCTTTCAGGGTTGTCCATAATCTCAATACTCATATCTTCGGCTTAAATCGATAATTATTCCCGTTATTATCTTAATATACGAAGGACACCATAACTCGGCACAGTATGCAAAGATTACCGACAATTCCGGACAGTTTGCAAAGAAGATTGCTGACAATTCCGGACAGTTTGCAAAAGAAGATTGCTGACAATTCGGGACAGTTTGCGAAGAAGATTGCTGACAATTCCGGACAGTTTGCGAAGAAGATTGCTGACAATTCCGGACAGTTTGCAAAAGAAGATTGCTGACAATTCCGGACAGTTTGCAAAAGAAGATTGCTGACAATTCGGGACAGTTTGCGAAGAAGATTGCTGACAATTCCGAACAGTTTGCGAAGAAGATTGCTGACAATTCCGGACAGTTTGCGAAGAAGATTGCTGACAATTCCGGACAGTTTGCAAAAGAAGATTGCTGACAATTC